GGGAGAAGCACTAAAAGTCATCAATCAACGAGTTTAAAAACTGTTCTGAGCAGTGAAAAAAAGCATCTCGACAGGCTGTATTGCATCAAAAGGAGAGTTTTTTTAATGTGACTAAAGTTTAAGCATGTAAAAATAAATACAGATTTTTTATAAATGTATATATTTGAGGGGGTTCCCCCTCTCATATACATGTTTAAGGATTATTTGTTCTATTTCTAAGAAAATGCTTTGTAATTTTGATAGAGAATGCTTTGGACCTATAGATTGCTTTGGGTAGTATGGACATTTTTAAACTATTCTTCAAATTCATGAACATGGAATATCTTTTTATTTATTTTTGTTTTCTTCAATTTCTTTTGGCAGTGTTTTATATATAACATCATGTCATCCACAAATAGTGATAGTCTTACTTCTTCCTTTCCAAGTTAGATGCATTTTATTTCTTTTTCTTATCTAAATGCTCTTTCTAGGACTTCCAATACTATGTTGAATAAAGTGTTAGGAATGGGCATTCTTGTCTTTTTCTGATCTTAGAGGAAAAGCTTTCTGCTTTTCATCATTGAGTGTGATGTTAGCGGTGGGTTGGGAACATACTTTTAATAGGCAACAAACAGAAGCAGCAAGGAAGTCAATTATAATAACACAAGCAAGAGATGTCAGTGGTTTAGACAAGGGGCAGTCAGATTCTGAATAATATTTTAGTATCATGATGCAATTTAACATAGCAAATTTGAGCTCAGCTAAGCTATCCTGTACAATGGAACATGCTAGGTATGCAGGAATAACTAAACCATGCCTTACCCTCAAAGCACTTTCTAGCTAGTGATATAGACATGTAAATACTTAACTATAACATAAGGAAGGATAAAGTAAATCTATGTAAAGGTGAAAATAATTTTTTAATTACTTGGACATTTGAAGAAGGACATGTCTTATGAATTGGGCCTGGAGAAGACAGAGGATTTCCACAGGCAAAGAATAAAAGTAAGATAATTCCAGTCTAAGAAAATAGTAAGAAAAATACCTTGCATGGACAAAAGATCTAATCTCAGTTGACTTCTTTTATTTTTTAATAGCTTCATTCAATCTTTTTTTAACCTCTCTGGTCTGTACCATCTAGTTCAGAGGTCAGCCAGAGATTTAGGCAGAGGTTATAGGCAGACACTGGAACTCCCTCTTTCAGATGCTCTTCTTCCGGGATCTCCCCTCATTTTTGGATGGACCCAAGAATCCTCTCCTCTGGTGTACATGCCAACAATAATCCCCCCTTGAATTTGCACAGACCCTGTGAATATGATGACGAAGTATTACTCCCATAATCATGCTTCCTCATATGAGCCAAAGAAGGATTATCCTGGTTAGCTCTGACCTACCAGATTAGCCCTATAAAAGCAGAGAATTTTTCTCCAGTTAGTCACAGAGGAAAAAGTTAGAAAACCATGCTCTTTCTAGTCAGGAAGAAGCTAAAGACCTTGTTAATAAAATGCTTTTAGGGCCCATGTGTCAAGGAACTGTGGGTAGCTTCTAGAAACTTTAGAGTCACCCCTGACACCTGAACAATAGTTAGTAAGAGAACAGGGACCTGAGTCATAAAGCAACAAAGGAATACATTCTAATAACTGACAGGATTGAAAGAGGTCCCTGAGCCTCAGAAGGGAAGCACAAAGCTAGGTGACACCTTAATTTTAGTCTGATGAGACCCTGAGAAAAGGGCTCAGTTACTCTGTACCGTAAGATAATAAATGGGTGTTTTTTAAATCATTGCATTTGTGATCATTGTTATAAAACCATAGCTAGTATACTCCAGTTGCCATGAATTCTGTCCTCTGGGTCTTCAAGAAAGCAAACCTGTAGGTATATTATGAGAATTTTAATTTCTCTCTAAGATGCAGATGGGGTTTGCCCTCAGGATAAATGTTGTTGTAATAGTAATAGTAATAATAATAATAATAATAATAATAATAATAATATAAATGAGAAACTTATCCCATGCCCTTCCTTTCTTTCAACTGCCTTTCCTCCAGAATCAGCCTGTGTTCATTCACTCTACTGTCTTCTAGTAGCTATCTTTTCCATTCTGTCCAGATTTTATATTTCTTGGTGGGGAGGGTTGGTTCAGTACATATGCTCTTTGTCCATTCAGATTCTGCATACATTTTGAAGGCAGAGTAAATATGATTTGCTGGTGGATTAAAAGCAAAAGTGTAACAGGGGGATTTGGAGATTGTGCCATGGTTCTGGATCTCTGCAAGGGAAATGTTGGAGTTGCCAGTTGCAGAAGTGGGGAGCCCATAAATGCAAGAAATTGCATATGTGAGTTTAGATTTCAAGGTGACTACTGGGAAAGATAAAAACATTTAGATTTGTTTTTTAAAGCCGTGAGATTGAATTAAATCCTCAACAAATTCACTCTGAAAAGAGAAAAGATGACCCCCAAAATGACTCTTGGTAAATCTAAAATTTAATAATAAAGAGAAGTGAAACTGAAAGAGGAGACAGAAATAGCAAATGAGAGAGAAGAAGCATAATGAGAAACTAATTATCTCAAACCCAACTGAAGATGTTTTAAAGTAACCAAAGAATGATGATTTGTCTTTAACACAGTGCCAAGTAAGATAAGCATTGAGAATTAACCGCTGAATTTAGCAGTGAGGAGGTATGTCTGTGTGTCTTCAACAAAAGCAGTTTCAACAGAGTTACAGAAGAAAGCTTGATTGGAATAGAGGACAAATTGAACAAGGAGAATAAGAAACTGCAAATTTAATCAAGACTTTAGAGCAATTTTGGTGAACAGAAAAATTGAGAAATAGCTTAAGGAAGAAGTGGAGTCAAGAGTTTTGTTTTATTGCTGTTTATTTATTTTTAACATGGAAAAATTTGTGGTATGCCTGTATGTTGATGGAATTAAACAATAGAAAGGGAACATCAATGATGCAAGAAATAGAAGGGAGAATTATTGCTAGAGCAATGTCCTTTCATAATTTGTAGATATAAGGACTAGTACACAGTGAAGGAATTGGATAGAATCAGACATAGTTCATCTGTCGTAAAGGAATGAAGTCAGATGATGTGAATTTAGACATAGGTGGGTGGGTGGTGTAGTAGTTAGATCTAGAAGTCTGGGAAAGAGGGGAAGGTATAAAATAATCATCTGAAGTGTGAGAGAGTGAGTGAGCTAGAAATTTGGAATAGGCTCTTTAGGCAGTACTGGGGGTCCATGAAGCATTAGAGGGGCATGATGTTGAAGTAAGAGCAGTCAGGATGTATTTAATAACATTGGGATTTTTCAATAGTGTGCAAAATGCATGATAGGGCAAAGTTGAGGCTGTGTAGAAGAGACTGATTGTGATTGTCAGTGACATCTGAGGTAAGTGATGGAGAAAATGAGGTGACAGGAAGGCAGGATGAACAAAACAACAAGGAACATTCATTAGACAACAGACAACTAAAAGATGGATAGATAGATAGATAGATAGATAGATAGATAGATAGATAGATCAACATTAGCAGAAATGTGGTTTTGAAGACTGAGTAATATATACATGGGGAGTTATTATACTATTCTTTCTTCTACTTCAGAGTGTAGTTGAAAATGTCCACAGTAAAAACTGTTCCCTATTTGTTATTGTTGTTTTTAACTGATAATGTTTTGTATGGTTAAAGATTGTTGGCATCAGGGTTCCAGAAAAAGTCAGTTAGAAAGAAAGGATTTAGAATCCCCAAACATGATCTGGTGGAAATCCAAGGACAGAGCACAAGGAAGGGCTGTGAGCATTATTAGTAGCAGGACCTAGGAGTGAATAGGGTAAGTGAGTAAGTGGAGGTGGAGAACCAGATCATTTGCATAAGAATGGACAAAGGAATCCAGATGTCAAGCCATTGTCTTGATTGTCTACATGGATAATAAAAACAGCAAGAATAATGGTAGAGAGCATGAGAGTGAGCAGTGACACTAAAATTTCAAAGAATGAGGGAGAGTGACTCATTGTAATAGCTCAAAAAGCTGGTGGTTTCTAGAGGTGAAATCACTTGAAAGTAAGGAAGACATGGACCCCCATTTGCCCTATCATATTCCCTCCCAACCTAGAGGTATAAGAAATATGCCACCAAAAACAGCTTCCACTTGGGAGGATTATGGGAGGAGCAGTGTCCTCAGGGGAGAGTTAGATATTAAGGGAGAAATTGTTCTACTAAAAATCTAAATTAGCTGGTTACTGCACCTGAATGTTAAATTGGGCTATCTACCTCCCAGCAGTGAAAGTTTCATAAAAGGAGAATGGATAGGTTATGTAGTCCTTAGGATCTGACAAAGGAGGTATATAATTTCTTCAAAAGAGACCAACATGGTCCAAAATTCGAGAACATTTAACAGAGCCATTATTATTTTTATATTCCTAGCAACTAGAACAAAGTGTGAAATATAATCAGATTATAAATATTTGTTTAACCAAACTCATCAGACACAGGGGTTTATAATAGACAAGGTCTTTAATTGCAAATTTTGAAGATAAAATGCTTATCTTAAACTCATAAAATAGGACTTGGTCAAGAGGTCTATTGATTCTAGCTTTGAATCTGAGATAGCATTTTCAAAAGCCAAGCTAATTACAAAATTAGCCTTAGCAGTTCTTTTTCTATAGACACATTGTACACTATAAGGCATGGAAGTAGTTAATAGTTTTTAGTATTTACTTTATTCTTTCATTTTGAAGAGGAGAACCTGCCATTTAAAAACATGCAAAAGTAATTAAAGATTTTTCACTATTTTATTATCTGAATGTAGTTGCAAATTCTGACTTAAAACTCTTATCAGAGGGAGACAACATCCCTCCCTGAACAGCAAATGAGCATTCAATTAACACTTCAATACAAGTGCATTTTAAATAAAAATATACATATTGTTAATCTTTCTTTACAAATGCAAATACCCAATTTTAAAATCCTAGGAGAATTGCCTCTCTTTTATTCTTTTGGGAAACAAGTCCTTTCTTTCTTTACAGGGAAGACCCGAATTTTCTGAAGTTGTTACCAAGTTAGAAGAGTGTCTCTGCAACATTGAGGTAAGAAATTTTGCTTCTGAAATGTGTTCACTGAAAAAGCCTAGACTGTCATCCAAGGAAGTTGAGGAATGTAGGCTAGACAGTGCTTATGGGAAGAACGTGAGTGTGGTCCAGAATTCCATTCATATGTTCCCCTGTTAATTGAGCTCCTAGGGTGGAGCAAAATGGACTGCATCGATGGGGGTGAAGGCAAATCCAGACCGAACTGGAGGCCCTTTCAAAAATAATCAAGCAGGCAAATGGACACAGGCACACCCAGCTTAAAAAACTGACCTGTATAAATTTGAAAATACAACAAATATGTTACAAGGTAATTATTGAACTCAATTTTTGTGCATACATGTCCCTATGTACAGTGAAATGTAAACTAAAATATGAAGCCATTGTTCACTTATGCTCAATGAGAAAAGGAAAAATTATCACTATAATTTGTGCATAAATTAATTGGGAGGATTGCTTTTATACCACACATATGTTGCATAAAGGGATATATGTTGGTAATCAGGTTAATGGAATTTTCTTCCCTTAATATCAGGGAGCTGTTTGCTTTAATTTTCTCTATAATTGCCTCAATTTTCTATACACCTGGTAAGGAGATAGCATTTTAAAACAGGTGAGGAAGCTAAAACATGAGCAATAATTCAAAAACAATAATATACTCCCAAATGCAAATGAGTGCTGTAGGAGAGGGAATGAACATCACACGGACAGGCTGGCATATACATATACATGTGCAGACTAAGAGAAGGGGCCTAAAATGGGGGGAAACAGCATCAACCTGAGACTGTATAACTAAATCTTAGAGTGGAACTAGTCAAATAAAATTCTCTTAAAAAAAAAAAGAAACTAAACTAAGTCACTGGAACCCAGTCTGTTGGAAAAGGGTTGCAAGACTTCAATGATCTGTGGCCTGCAGTGATCTGTAGTGATGACTGTGTTTCCTTACTAACTACTTCTTCTAAAAAAGAAGCCTTTTACGAGAAGGAAACTTCAGTCTTTGGACATAAAACTTCCTTTTTCTTCTCTTCAGTTCTGGAACATATACCATGAGAAGAAGTAGTATGTTTGGTGGGGCTTCAGGCATTCCACGAACAAGACCATCTGCCAGAGGCCTTGGATGTTGAGAGTTGCCTTTAAGACTTGAGTTCCAAGTGCTCTTATACTTTGAAGCTTTATGTTTGACAGCATAAGGTTGCCCAAGCCTGGGGATGTATCCAGTTAGATCACAGAGTAACTTTCAGAAACAAGGACAGTGGTAAGAGCTGCTAAACTAGCTTGTCTTGTTATATTGCCCAAGACTCTTAACACAGTCTCCTCTAGCGAAAAAGATCAATAACTATGGAAAATATGCAAAGACAATTTGCTGGACTGGGTTACACTAATCAATAGACCAGGATCAGCTTTAAGGAACTTGACTTGTAGGGTTCCATAAGGCTCCATCCTCTCTACTCCTAAACTTTTTCATCAGTGGTTTAGACCAAGGTCAAGAAGGCACAGCTTATCACATCTACAGATATGAGGAAGTTGAAAGAGACAGTAAATAGTTGAAACCAAGAGTGTACAGTATCTAGGAAGATGAAACAATAGAACAGATCTAATGAGAATAAATATAACATCACACGCAAAGGAACAATAGTAAAAGTATCACATGGTGAATATATTGTTTAGGAGCATCATGCATGTAACTGAAGAAGTTCTTTATGAGTTAGATTATGAAGTAGCTGTCTTGCTACAGAATAAAGGGTGTGATCATCTATTGCTGTTCTGAGATAACCAAACAAAATAGTACCCAGTTATGTCATTTTATTTGTTTGAAAGATTTTATTTATTTTTAGAGAGAGGCTAAGGGAGGGGGGAAAAAGGTAGAGAAATGTCGGTGTGTGCTTGCTTCTTGCATGCCCCCTACTGGAGACCTGGCCTGCAACCCAGGCATGTGCCCTGACTGGGAATCAAACTAGAGACCCTTTGCTTCACAGTCCAGCACTCAATCCACTGATCCATGCCAGCCAGGGCCAGTTACATCCTTTTAAAGGCATAATTAACACTGGGACACTACATTTAGAATAGAGAGATCAAAATGGTGACTGGATTGGAAATCACATATTTGAGAACCAATTGAAGAAAGCAGGGATGCTGGTCACAGACAAAAGAAAATTAGGATGAGTCTGAGAGATGTGTTTAAATATCCGAAGAACTATCATATGGCAAAAGAATTGGCCATGCCATTGATGGGCCAACAGATGGAAATAAAGTGCAATAATAGATTTGGCTTATTTTAAGAAGGAGGTTTATAGTGGTTAGATCTGTTCTAAGATAAATGGATCTGAAGGCAGTGAGTTCCTCATCATTGCCCTCACTGACTTAAAAATGATGCACAGAAGAGATTCAATCATTGAAGAGTCTAAACGTTCATTTCAACACTGACATTACCTTATCCTCGGAGCTTTACTTAGAAATGTCTTGGCTACTATGGAGAGCCTAGAATTTACATATATTATTCTTTGAAAACCAAAGGTGACTGTCTACATGTCTTATGAAGTCATAATGTCAAAAGCACTAATGCTCTCAGTCAGGTTAGGTAGAATGTATAAACAGCAAGGTTGTCAAAAACTCAAGAAAACTACTCTTCTATTATTAATTCTCCTCTTTCTCATTCTTTCTTCATACTTTTCTATTTTCTAGCTATAGTTAACTGTAACCATTTTTAAAGCTATAGTTAACTCTTTGTAACTATTTTTTAGAAGTCTTTCACAACAACTCTATTTAGTCCTCATGCTTGCCAGACATTAAAGTATTCTTCATTTTATAAAATGAATATTTCATTTATTCATGTATAAATGAAATACACACTTGGAAAAGTGTGTAAATCCATTTTATATAAAGGGAATAATTTCATGTAAATGAATAATTTTAAGCTACAAGTTAAAGAAACTCTGCCATGAATCAGCACCATAGTGAAAAATGTAGAAAATCTTTTAACCATTAAATAAAAACCTTCTAAATATTTATTTCATGAATCTGTTTTCTGAAAAATGAGCATAAATTTAACGGACCAGCTCTCAACATAGAACTAGATCAAAAAAGTAAATTAAGCAACCAGATGTTGCCATCAGAGGCCAAAAGAAAAGGCAGCAGCAAGCTGAGAGGAATAGAAATTAAAATATGAGAAATCCTAGGACAGAAAGTTAAAATAAAGTCAAATTCTAGTCTAAGATTTTGATCCCGTTGGATTTATTAAATGATGCAGACTGCCCCTCTTTTCCTTAGCTGATGTCTCCTGCATCGAGTAACAGCAGCGGGTCTCTCTCACCTTCCTCCTCTTCTGATTGCCTGGTGAGCAGGGGAGGGCCTGGCCGGAGCCACGTGGCAGCTCTGCGGAGTCGTTTTGAATTGGAATACGCTCTAAATGCAAGGTCTTATGCACTGCCTGGTCCCAAAGGTAAGAGCAATAATCTAAGCAACAGTCAGTCTCACAGACAGATTCTAGAGTCTTATCAAGACAGTCACCCAATTTGATTACTATCAGTGGGCCATTTACCAGCCTTGTGGCAAGCCCTGAAATAGGAGTGTTGGAGGCCATTTTAAAAATAATATTATGACCAAAATTAGAAATTTTATTATCTATTAGTTTAGGTTCTCTAAGTTTCAAGTAACAGAAACTAACTCTAGCTTAACTAAGAATCGTCCAGCTATAGCCACAAAGAAAAACTATTGAAAGTATTCTGGGGTTATCTTACAGAATCAAAGGAAGAATTCCTTGTATGCAGGAACTGAGAAACAGTTTTGCAGATCCGAGTACCAAAAGGTCAGCATTCTAGAATTACTATATGACCCAGCAATTCCACTGCTAGGTATATACCTCAGAGAATTGAAAACAGGTACTCAAACAATACTTGTATTAAAAATGTATAGCAGCACTAGTCACAGTACCCAGAATGAAGGAAATAGCACAAACATTCTTCACTGGATAAATATATAAACAAAATGGGATATCCACACAATAGAATATTATTCAGCTATATAAAGGAATGATGTGCTGATACATGCTACAACATGGATGAACCCTAATAACATGCTAAATGAAATGTGTCATATATTGTATGACCATATTTACATGAATATCCAGAAAAGGTGTTTTAGTAGGTTTGGGCTGATACAACAAAATACTGTGATGCAGAACCTGGCTTGTGGGGTCCACAACATTGTGGATGAGAAACGACAAATTCACATGGACTACCAAGTCCTGTGGAGGAAAAGGTACCGTATGGCTTCTTTCTCAAGAGGAGAAAAGCCTTGGCCCTTGCCTTGACAAACTTTTATTGCTTTTCTGATCGTATTACAGGTTGGTCCTCATTTACTATGCATAGGTTCACTTTAGGTGGTTACCTTTTACAGAAAACAAAGAAGCCAACGCCACTAATCAGATCACAGAAGAGGGATATTTGCAAATGCAAAGGGAAAAGTGGTTGAATTGGTTATGCTCATCCTTGAAAGGTTTAGCACTGACTTTAGGAAGTTACAGGAAGCACTTCCTGCCTCAATTCAGGGTGAGGGAGTTTTAGCAAAAGGAAGTCTCATAAAGGTCTAGGTACAATGCAGGCCTGATTCCCCACAGGAGAACCTATGTGTGGGTGTGGGTCTTGTGCATCTCCAAGTGGGAGCTGGGCCCACGCCAAGCAGAATGGTCTACTATAATACTGGATACTAGATGATTTAAACAATAGAAACATATCTTCTCACTGTGGAGTCTGGCACCATCATGGTGACAGCATGGCCGAGCTCTGGTGGGACTTACAGATGGCCCCCTGCTCACCATGCTGTCACATGGCAGAAAGAGCACTGGCCAAAAGAGCACTGGCCTCTTTTCATCTTTTATAAGGTCACCGGTTCTATCAGATCAGGACTTTACTCTTCTGATTTCATTTAACCTTAATCACTTCCTTACAGGTACTATGTCCAATGGAATCGCATAAGGTGTTAAGATTCAGCATATGAATTTCATGGGAGAGGGACACAACGCAGTCCATAGCAACAGGCAAATCCATAAAAACAAATTAGATTGGTGGTTGCAAGGGGCTAAGGAGAAGGAAGAGATTAGGAGTAACTGCTTAGTAAGTACGGGCTTTTATTTTAGGGTGATGACAATATTTTGAAATTAGACAGAAGTGGTGGTTGCAAAACATTATAAATGTACTAAATGCCACTGACTTGTTCACTTTAAAATGAGGAATTTTGTTACATGCTTCACTTAAATGAAAAAAATGCCAAAATTTTTTAACAAATGGGCAAATCAAAAAGAGAAAATACAGTTCAGCATTCTCCTGCAGTGACCTCTGACATTTACATGCCTCTGTTTGCCACCGAGAGCTCTTGGCCTCTCTGTTTAATTACAGTTTCGAGAAGAGATATATCAGTCCTCTATTGCCATAATACCTCTATGTAAAACCCATGCCAAAACTCAAGGATATATGAGTGTAATGACTTATTTCTTTCTCATGTGCCTGTGGGTGGTTTTAGGTGGGCTTGCATGTGAGCTAAAGGTTGTATCCAGGTCTGCCTCGTGTTCCTGTCCTCCTCTTTTGACTAAAACACATACCTGAGGCATGTTCTTATCATGGGCAAATATGAGAAACCCAAGAGGACAAGCCCAACTTTACATGCACGTTTAAAGCCTTTGTTCAGTTTGCATCCTACGACATTCCATTGGCAAGTCACATTGCTGAGTCCAACATCAGCAAAGAGAGAAAATTCCTTATACTGAACCTCTAGTGGGAAGAACTACAAAGTCACATGGCAAAGGGTATAGATACAAAAAGCATAAATGAGGAATAAATGCAGTCTGCCATAAGAGAGAACGTGACTGGCTTTTGTTTTGTTTGTTTGTTTGTTTGTTTGTTTGTTTGTTGGAACAAGTGGCTGCCTCTGGTCTAAGCAAATGTGGTTGATGTGGAGGTAGGGTCATATTTCATGAATATTAACTTGGCAGCCAGAGACTCCTGTTCTGGATGGGGAGCAAAAAAAAGGCAATCACTGAGACCAATGAAGACCCTAGAAAGTGTGCATGACGACCCATGAAAAATCAGAAAAGACTGGTTGAAAAATCTCTGTCCTTCCACATGTGCTCCAGAGTATTTATCCATGAGCTGTTGTTACCCATATGCACTCACCTATGCCATCATCAGAGTAAAACCTTTGTCTTTAATGTGGAGAAAGATTACCCGGAGTTAGCAAGGATCTGAAACCATCTACAAACTGCTAATGTTGCCTTCTTAGCCATGGTTATTATATTCCTGGTCTAACAGAAGATTTGTAGCTACAGTTTTGAAAAGACAAGAATCTGAATCATGAAGCCTTTAATCTAGGAATGACATAAAATTAAGTACCAGCAAATGTGATTGATAGCCAGGCAAACTGGACACAATCTTTTATTGGATTCCTGTCTCTCACATAATTTCATAAGGGGCTCACAGGCCAAGATTAGATTAGCTTCGGTCACAATATTGTCTTCTAGTTCCATCTGATCTTCTTCCTCTTTGCTTGTGGCTTTAAAATTAATTCTCTGAACGGTCAGGTTTTGATATTTTCAAAGCATCATCACCTGTCTGCTTGAGGCAAAGGTTAAGAGGATGAGCTGTGGAGTCAGACAGATCTGAGGTTCAGTCTTGGCCTTGCCATTTACCAGCTCATTGACCTTGGACAAGTTACCTATTGGCTCTTAGGATTGTTATTGGGAGAGACAGTATTGTCACAGGAGTCGGTGATTGATTGATTGAAAGATGCCAACGGACCAAAGCAAAGGCTAGGAACATCTACAGTGTAGGTAAATCACACAACTTACAGTACATAGACAGCAATACAGCATTGGGAGACACCGTGGCTCTCCCAGTTAGGTGAGTCAGGGGTGGAGGGAACACAGCTTCTCTGGCCTTCAGGAACCCAGAGAGGTATACTACTCCTCATAAAACTGCCTGAAAGGGTTGGGGAAAACCCCTTAGGTTTTTTGAGATGCAGCATTTGTTAGCCTCATAAGGAATTTTACATCCTTCTGTTTCTTCATGACTGTTATGAAACTCTAATGTGAAAGTGTTTATGTACTTGATTCAAATTTCCCTTAACAGCCTAGTACGTCCTGAGTATTTGCTGTAAGGATGAATTGAAGGTCAGTTCACTAGTTGTACCACCCTTCTAGCAAGCTCAGCAGTCTTTAGACTCTTGAAATTAATTCTAGAAGAGATAAAGCATTTACCTAAATTGTAAGATTCACCAAGATAGGAATATCTGTTTAATCCATGACTGTCTTCTTAGTATCTAGCAGTGCAATTGGTATAAAGTCAATATGTAATAAATGTAAATTTCACAAGGAGTTGGATAAAATGGCTTCATACATTAGAATTATTATTAATTTGTACCATAATCAGTGAACAAGCTTCAATTATTTTCTCCATTTGTTCCATTTAAGTAGCTATCACTCCTGAGTATGTACTGTATTCCGGACATTATTTTAAACACTTTGAATTGTCAACTAAGTAATCCTCAGGGAGTAAGTATTCTGTTTTTTTTTTTTTTCATTTTATTTATTTATTTTTAAAGAGTGGAAGGGAGGGAGGAGAGGGAGAGAAACAACAATGTGTGGTTGCCTCTCTCATGCCCCCTATTGGGGGCCTGGCCTGCAACCCAGACATGTGCTGTGACTGGGAATCAAACCAGCGACCCTTTGGTTCACAGAGCAGCACTCGATCCACTAAAGCCACACCAGCCAGGGCTAAGCATGCCTATAGGTGTGGAAACTGAGGCTCAGGAAGGGTGAGCAACTCTCCTAAATTTGTGGAGGCAGAGTGGGAATTCTCACCCCGAACTCTCTTATACCTTCAGAATTTCTCTGACACAGGAGATGGCACTTTTCAGAAGCTTGATCTATATCACCAGTATTTACACATGTATCTGCTACACTTCTTCCAGTTTCTTCTGGAAGTGGGTCAGAGAAGCAGCTACTCCTCCCAAGCCTTTTTCAGCTTGTCTATATGAAAGACAGAGCAACTGAGACCAGAGATCAATAGGTTCTTAAAGTCTAAGAGCCTGAGGATGCAGGAACTGATGGACTAACTCCAACAAGGCCATGAGTTTAACGACCTGGAAGACAGTGGCTCTCAGCTTTGTCTACACATTAGAATCCTCTGGGGAGCTTTTATAAGCACCAATGCCCAAGACCAATTAAACCAGGACCCACGGGGGTGACACTCAGGCACCAGGATCTTTTAAACTTCCCAAATGATTCCAATATACATCCAAGTATGAGATGCATGCTAGAAAAGAATGCTACACTGTGAAACTGCCAGTCACTCTATGGGAAGGGAATGCAACTGCTAGAGTAAATAGAAGAAAATGAGAGCATAGGTGAGACAGCAGCTGTGACCAAAGGAGAATATTGTGATGGCTGAT